ATAAATATTATTTGATTATTATGATATTGATTACGATAATAAAATAAAAGTTTATTTCATTAACCTTTTTGTCATGTCATATTTAATAAATCTTAGTTTTGATTCTGATTTTCCTATTTAGTTCTACTTAATAAAAGTGTATCAAAATTTCTACCTAACTCCTTATTTATAAATCTTCACATTCTTAAATTCATCTATCCTATTTAACTATTAAGTTTTATTTTTAATAGGGAAAGAATTAATGTTCTTATAAAAAATTTATTAATAAATTGCACCTTTGTAAAATATTCTTTTTTAAGTCTTTTTTATTCACATTATTATCTTTAAATAATTCATTACAAATTATTTTCATATTATATTCGATTTACAACTATTTAAAAAATAGCCTCCTTCTTTTTAATTGAACAAAATCTAAAGACTTCTTTTTGATAATTTTTATCATTCCACCATAATTGGTTAGGGTTGAATTTTATTCCTTTAATACTACTTTTTCACATTAATTACATGTTACCCAACTAAATTTATATCTGTCATAATATTTAAAGTTAGTGTGTATCTTTTCTTTTTTTTCTTATCTTAGCTTTCGCTTCAAAATGCCATTATATTATAACTGCATATTTAGTGTCTTAGAGGCACAATTCTACTTAATAGTTTTAATTAATAGGTTAAATAGTTTATAATTTTATGTCCAATTAAATTATTTAGATATACCATCTCTCATATCTAAATAAATACTAAAATATTTGATAAATTTTCAGAAACTCTCCAAATATCATCTTAGTCTCTAGCATAATATTTAAATTTAGAGTCAGGTAAAACCTTAAAACTTCAATATGAGTGTATATTTAGGTTGATGATTTTAATCATTTTTTCAACAACTTTCCTACTAAATAATCACCAACCATAGATCTAGAGATGCTAATTTTTCGAAAGTCTGTGGTTTATGTCCTTACTTTTGGAAGTCATATTTGCTAACACAAGTCTCTCTAACTTTTAAATTTATTTCGTTTTTTTAGGAATCCTCTGAACTTTCCTCATTTTCAGCTTAGATTAAAGTTTCTTATTTTAGTTATGTTTAGTAATAGGTAAAATGAATATCCAATTGATGTTAAGTTAAATTAAATATCTTTTTACACTTTTACATGAAAATAAAATAAAAAAAAAACTTGAATGATTATTTTATTTTTGATGAATATTATATTTTAATGAATAATGATTTAGAGATCAAAGTGTGAATTTATTGATTAACCGATGATAATAATGGGAATACTAAAAGAGACAACTTGGAAGTTACAATACAACTCATTAGTTTGGCTTAATTTAATATTTTTTCTTTATTAGAATGAAAAAAATTTTTCTTTTGTAAAATAACTGTGTAAGTTACAAAATAGGCACAGAAATGTTAATTTTTTTATATTCAAAAGGAGCACTCCTTTCCGGCCATAATTATAAACTAAAACTGTGGGTATAAACTTTTGCAAGCGTATAATTGAATAAAGTGATAAAATTATAAAATTTTATGCTGAGAAAATGATTTCAAAAATTCAGAGATGTATCTATTTTATTGCACATAGTATATTATCGTTGTCTTCAATTAAAGTTATAAATTCTTTTCAATTAAAAGTGAAGAAAATCTCAAAAAAATTATTTAGGAAGAGAGATTAGTCCAATATAAAACTATTGTTGGAAATAATTAATGAATTAAAACTACTGATTTAATTATTTAAAAGATAAAATTTCAAATTTTTTCATATTGTCTTTACTATTCAAAAAAAAAAGAAAGAATGTATGGTGAGGTTTGAATTCAATATCCTTTATTTATTAGTATTTAATAAATATATATTTAATTTTAGAACCATTCAATTCGATACAGTGATTTCTGG